TTTCAAAGTGTAGCTTTTGCTATTTTAATGTTAAGTGCCGCTCTTAAAACCTGTTGCTGTTGAGTTGACCCTGACTCATGGCGACACTGCGTGTGTCAGAATAGGGTTTTCAGTGACTAATTTTCTGAAAGTAGATCACCAGGCCCTTCTTCCAAGGCACCTCTGGGTGGGACTCCAACCTCTAGCCTTTCGGTTAACAGCCAACCGTGTTAACGGTTTGCACCATCCAGGGACTAAGTGCAGCTCTTAGAGGATGCTTCAATAACTGGACACCCCTTCCCATTCAGCACTCCCATGGTGCTGAGCTCCTTAGAGACTGCATAGGCCAGGGAGAAGAACATGTGGCTGGAGCAAGCTTAGTTTGAACCTGGCTCAGACAATTACTTGCTTTCTGATTATGGACAGATCAAATGCTCAGAGCCTTAATTTCCTAAGGCAGGTTATAATATTGACCATGCAGGGTTGATGCCAGATTACTGTAGACGCATGTAAGATGCCTGACCCTCAATATAAATGGTAGTTATAATCATTATTATCATGTGTTTAGTGCATGTTTGTTTAATTAGTCGTGATTGACATTCAGCATTCATTAATTTATTCTACTTTTTTTTTTTTTGTTGAGTGTTTATTATGTGTTAGCTTTGGGAACACAGAGATGAGTAAGACGCCCATCCTTAACCCCTCTGTGCCTTAGTTTCCTTATCTATAAAATGGGGATATTAACAGTGCCTCCACCTAGTGTTGCTGGGAGGATTAAATAAGTTAAAATATGTAAAGAGCTTATAAAAGTGCCTGGTGATAACATATGTGGGGATGGTGGTGGTGATTTTATCACTAACCTCCCTGAAACCTTTCATGTATTAAAAAAACTTGATCACACAGTGACAACACATATTTTTTCCAAATTTAAAGTTAAATGTATTTCCTTGATTTGGAGTGCTCTTCCTCTGCAAATAATTAAAGCACAGAAGGACTTCAAGTTAACCCAGCCACTGAGAGCTCTGAGTTTGGAGTGAGACTGACCTAGATTTGAATCCCTGTTCTCCCACTAACTAGTTGTGTGACTTTCCTCTTTGAACCTTTGTTTTCTTACTGTAAAATAAGAATGCTAACACGTACCTTATGGGATTGTTGTGAGAATCAAAGAAAATAACCTACAGTAAGCTATCAAATTGTACTTATTATTTTAAGTATAGGATATATGAGGGTACGAAAGAGAATGAAGTCCAAATGTCCACCAGGAGAATTTCATACAGCAGCTGACAGTGAATATCAGGTGTTCACAGTTAAGTACACTTGATCTAAAGTAATCTCAGATGATTAGGATTTAAAGACCATGACTTTCAGATTAATTGTTGTAACTCTAGCAGCTATAACAAACAAATCCAATATTTTAATGGCCTACCTCAGATGTTTATTTCTCCTTCATATATAGTCCCGTGTGGAATTCCTGGTTAGTGGGTGACCATTGATGAACCAGACACCTTATGTTTTGTGGCTCCATCCTCCTTTAGGTCTCCTAGTCGTCTTCATTCAGCCAGCCAATGGGGAAAGAGAGGGTGGAGGAGGTACATGTGCCTTTTAACCACTTTGGCTAAGAAGTGACGTTATCACTTATCCTCTGATGATAAAATGTAACTGCAGGAAGCTGGAAATATCATCTAACTGCGTGCCCAGAAAGAAGAGAAAAAAGGTTTTGTGACTGGCTGGGAAGTCTCTTGCACAAGTGGAGAGGAGATTTGAAAGATCTCAATCTGCTGAAGACTTTTTTTTTAATTGTTGTACTTTAAAAGTTTACAATTCAAGTTAGTCTCTCATACAAAAGTTTATAAATACATTGTTATGTGACCCTAATTGCTCTCCCTATACTCTGACATCTGCTGAAGACTATTAGTGTTCCTATAAAAACTGAAGACAGGTGAAGGCATTTTATGGTTTTGTTGTTGTTGACTCAAGGATGGCAGTAGTTAGGGTTGGGTAAGGAGAGGAGATGAGATTGATTCATTTCCTTTTTGAAGAGTACCCATTCGTGTGCTTTAGATAGCATTGGTCATATGTGTCTGTTTTACCAAAATAAGAATCTCTTTTGGAATAGAAGGTTACGTTCAGTCTCATGTTGAGTTTTTTAATGTCACTGTCCGTTTCTCAAGGAGCCCTGCTGGTGCAGTGGTTAAGCGCTCATCTGCCAACCAAAAGGTCGGCAGTTCGAACCCACCAGCTGCTTTGCAGGAGAAAGATGTGGCAGTCTGCTCCTGTAAAGATTGCAGCCTTGGAAACCCTATGGGGCAGTTCTGCTGTGTCCTGTAGGGTTGCTATGAGTCGGAATTGACTCGACTGCTAAGGGTTTAATGGGTCTGTTTCTCAGGAGAAGGTGAATCAAGAACTTAATGACAAGATTTTCCTAAAACCAACCAGGAAATAGAAACATGTAGATTTTAAACTGTACTTCTTCAGCCATGATTGCCTTTCCTTTGGTCTCTTCTGTATTCCTTATCTTTGCCTTCTCTGTTGTTTGTCTCATTTTGGAGCATTTAATATTTTTACATACAGTTGTTTTTTATAAGCACTTTATTTTTCTCCATTTATTTTCTTTTCCTAGTTCTCACCACTTTAATTTTGTAATGATCCATTGTGTTTTCACATCACTTTTCTCCTCAAAAGCACAAATTACTGTAATTGGAGCTTGACACTAGAGATGGGAAAAAAGGGTCCTGATGCAACGAAATCTTGAACTTTGAATACGTTCCACTACAAGTCAGCCTGTAGCCCTGAATTTAGTGTCACTCCATTCTTGAACTTCTTTCTGAAATTATTTCTTAATACAATGCCTTCAAAAATGTGTTTTTAAACACTGTGTGTCTATATACACATGTGTGCGCTCGTGCGTTTCCACAAGGGCCTAGTGAGCAGGTTTCTGTGGCTGTAGGTTTCTCTTCTGGTATTGCTTGGTTAGCATGAGTGTGTGGAATAACCAGTCAGGTTTCAGGATATACCGACTGCTTTTCTTTTTCGTGTGCCCAAACATCATGGTTTCCCAGTGTACCATGGTTCAAACGATAATTATTATGGGGCTGGGTTAATGAAATATTTTCATTATTTTAAAGTGTGAATTAAATTTTTCACTGTCCTCCCCTTTTCTCATAAAGTTACGGACTCCTGGGCTCTGTAGCCAAACTGCACTGCTTCCATTGTCAGTCAGCCTTGTCTCTGCCTGAGACAGAATTTATAATACATGTCTCATTACATATTTTTTAAATGATTATAGTATTTTATTAATTATCTTTTCCTGAAAATTTGTCAAGAGATTGATATATTTAAATGACCCGAAGAGGATAATTTTTTCTTAATGCGTCATATTTGTTAGCTGCATAGATACACATGCACACTTTTTTTTCTCTCCAGGATTTTAAAGTTCTTTTAATTTTAGTAGCAAACCTTATAAGACTCCACTGTACCCAAAGATGGAGGCAGGAAACAGTTTCTGCTGTGGTTTCTTTTAGCCTCACATTCCTCTGAAAATAGCGCTGAGCTTGTCTGCTTTCTGTAACTCTTACTTTCAGTTACGTTAACACTAAAAACCTGCGTTTGGGAGATAAAGAAATTTAGACCGTAGGCTGGAATGTTACCCGTAATTCTTTCTCCAACCTGACTTCTGTCCCAGTGAATCAGGCATTGAAATAAATTTTGAGTGTATCTGTATCTATCTTCCAAAGATAATGTATGTGAAAAGTGCTTTGAAACATGTAAACTAGTGTACAAATATCAGGTAGTTTATGAATAATAATAATCATCTAGTTAGGCCCCCAAACCTGAAACTGAATAACTGTCACAATTTCCTTTTCAGTTTTTTTCTTTTTACCCATGTTCCTAATCTCCTCATGCCAAGGTGTGCTTACTGTCAAAGATTCTACTTCAGAACTCTGGTTTTCTCAGCTCCCTTGCTTCTCCAAAAAGAAACTGTCCACAAGTACTTGTCTCTCTTTGAAGTGATTTTTTACAGCTGGGTGTGGAAAGGGCAGAGGAGCAGAAGAAAATGATATATTCTTGGGGTGGGCAGAGTTTCGTTTGTCAAAGCATATTTATACTTACATTGTTGTCACAATACACAACACAGAAAGTAGAACCTGACAAAAATTTTTCTTGGCTTGGGTTATGGAGTGAGAGAACATGGGACAAGGGACTAATAGATTAAAAAAGTTGAGAAGCATTGCCTTGGATTATCACCAAGACACATGCTATACCAATATAAGGTAGAGCAGCCCTGTCTCCACTACCAACTTGAAATTTTTCACTTTCCTCTGTTTTCCTCAACAGTGTCCTTTAGACTCCCAAGATGGCTCATGTTTTTGTGGCTGCATATTGTTGGGAAAGGATTAGAGTGATTGATGTAGTGTTACCATCTCCATATTTATGAAGTGCCAAATATTAGTTGTTTTCTTAAAAAGTTTGGGATTGGCATGCTCCCTGAAATACTACTAAACATGCTAACAATCCCTCCGTTCATGCAAGATGTGTTTTCTTTTACCACAATAATTGCAGATCCGGCAAGGCAGTTGGCATTTTAACATGGTCATATATATGTATGGACTGCTAGAATGTGAAAGATCTCCTTAGGGCTGGGACAGGAGCTTATTCATCTATGTGCTCCTTCAGGGTTTTATCAATCATGCTCTCTAAATTGTTGAATGAATGAATGATTGTGTCAAATCTAGCACAGATTATTCACATAGTTTACAAAGAAATATATAAAAATGGCTCTGAGTGCTAAGAAATGGAAAATTTAAAGAGCTTATTTTCTTGGTTCAATTTGGAGGGTTTGCCACCCCAAAAAGGTACTAGGCAAATAAAAGGTGTGATATTTTAGTCATTTTGGTTTGTTGCTTATTTTTAATATGAAAATGAAAAGAACCAGGTTAGCTGTCACTTTTTTATTATTCAACCCCATGCTTTCGTAAAAAAAAAAAAAAAAGAAAAAGAAAAAGTGCTAAATTATTTAGTTGCAAAGTGAGATAACACAAAATACCAGAAAAATAATCTAATTCCATTATCCATAATTTAAATTATAGGGGTTTTGGAGTGTTTTTCTCTACATTAGCAGCCTGTAGCTTTAAGACCATATTTTTATTCATCTTATACTGGCCTGGTACTAATGTGATGATGTTAGTGATGAAATCAAATCGCTGTTGCAATCTTGTGGCAGAATGATCTGTTGTATTTTCACTCACAAAACGTTAAGGTTGTTCACACATGGGATTGTTCAGTGGTAACAAGGGAATGCATTATGTCTGGGGACTACTTCTCTGCCCATCTGTATTAGAGGCATTTAGAAGCAGCTTCTAATCTGAAAGAATTTATCATTTCCTGTGTGGGAGCAGTTCTCTGCTGGAGTGTCAAAGATCCTCTTTAGATGATTGCTTTCCTTGTGTGTATATTCTAGCGTGGCTTTTATTTTCCACAGAACTTTTGAACGGATTTTTGCCAAAGTAGTGATTGACAATGATTTTATACATTACGGGCATTTAGCTCAAGGGGATTTTAGGGATAAATATTCTTTGTGGCTCTTTCACAGTCTCGAATGGCAAGCAGTTGAGTGGAATAATCTGGGTACTTCAATGAGATACGAAGGGTGAGTACCTTTCTGTGTAATTGTCTCTTCATTCACAAGATTAGCCGATTTTGTCTGTTATCCAAAAATCAAAAGGAGTTAACTTTTGAGTTAAGTGTGGTCAGGAAGCTGCAGCTTAGTTCTTGGGTGGAATCATCCCTTTGGGAATGTGCCTTTTGATTTAGAATTGAAATAAGAACGGTTGGGAAATTTAGGGGAAGTTCCAATAATGGGTTTAGACATAAAGTCTGTTATGTACTGCCATGTTTATTAGGCGTATATAAAATCTTGATGAAAACTGTGGGGAAAAAAAAACTAGATAGATGGATAAGACTTTCTTGAAAGCAATTAAAAATTTCATCAAAAAACAGACCTTTTGAAACTAAAATTGGTTTGTACTTAAAAACCTTGATAGAACTCATTTGTCCTTTCCTTACTAACATATCAGTATAATGTTTAAAAAAAAAATGCAGAGCTAAGTTTCTGTATAGAAATCCATCAAAATATTACCCAGTTTTTTGTCTAAAGTATATTAAGAGGCAGAGAAATATTTCTGCCTTTTCTTGAAATGGTTTTTTTCTCTTTCATCTGTGCATGAGCCATAGCTAGTGCCTCTCAATTTTAGGGGTCTTTCTTTCCCAGGAGTTCACCATGGGTGATTTCTTCTCCTTGGATAGTTAGTGGTGCTCTAATTGAGAGATGAAAGCAATCCTTCGGTGGTTTACTGCTAGGTTTTAATATGTGCGTTGTAATCATGATACCATTTCTGTTTCTCCCAATTTTTTTTTTTATTTTTTTAAATTAACACTTAGAAAAATTGACTTTTTCAGGGTGTGTACAGTTCTATTAATTTTACCGCATGTATAATTCATATAGCCGCCACCACGAAGAGAATACAGAGGAGTTCCATCACCTCCAAAAAGCTTCCTCCTGCTCTCCCTTTGTAGTCACACCCTCTCACCACCATAACCCCTGCAACCAGGGATCTGCTCTCCATCTCTATGGTTTTGTGTTTTTGAGACTGTCATATAAAAGAAATTATACAGTAAGGAACTTTTCGAGACTGGCTTCTTTCACCAGCATGATGCTGCCTCTAATCCTGCCTCATCAACATTATAGAGGTTAGGATTCACAACACATAGGATATTCACATCAGATCACAAGATGGTTGACAACCACACAGTCCTGGGGATCATGGCCTAGACATGTTGACACACATTTTAGGGGAACACAATTCATTCCGTAACAGTGCTTAAGAAGCTGCAAAACTGTTTTCCAGAATGGCTGTAACGGGTTACATTCCCACCAGCGAAGAATGAGAGTTGCAGTTGCTTTTCAAACCAGCACTTGTTATTGTCAATGTTTTTACTTTAGCCATTCTGAGAGGTGTGTCATTGTATCTCATTGTGGTTTTAATGCATGTCTATAATGGCTAATGATGTCTAACAGTTTTTATTTTTCTTATTTGCAAGCTGTTTGTCCACTTTGATCAATTGTCTGTTCACGTCTTTGCCAATTTTTTAATTGGGATATTTGTTTTCTTAGTGTTGAGTTTTGACAGTTCATTATGTATTATGGATACAAGTTCTTTGCTGGATAAGTGATTTGAAAATATTTTATCCCAGTTAGTAGCTTGTTTTTAATTCTCTTAGCAATGCATCTCTCAGAACAATTTTTTAAAATTTTTGATAAAGTCCAATTTATTAGTTTTTCTTTTATGGCTCATACTTTTAGTGTTCTATCTAGGAACTCTTCAACAAATGCAAAGTTATGAAGATTTTCCCCTAAAAGTTTTATGTTTTACCATTAGATCTGTCATCTATTTGACTTAATTTTTGTAATGGCATGAGGTTTGAGGATCTTTTTTTCTCCCCCAATGTGGGTATCCAGCTACTTCATCACTATTTGTTTAAAGGACTATCCTTTCTCAATCTAAATGACTTTACTCCTTTGTCAAAAATCATTTGGCCATATTTGTATGCGTCTATTTGTGGATTTTATTTCTTGCAAAGTGGTAGATGAATGGAACAGAACAGAGTCCAGCGTTTTGTTGATTCTTTGTTGTAAAAATCAACAGTAAAGCAGAGATTTGTTTGTAATTTCCTCTTCCTCTAATAATGCATCAGTTAGTATACCAAAACCTGTTGCCATCTAGTCGATTTTGACTCATAGCGACCCTGTAGGACAGAGTAGAACTGCTCTATAGAGTTTCAGAGGCTGTAATCTTTATGGAAGCAGACTGCCACATCTTTCTCCCCCGGAGCAACTGTTGAGTTCAAACTGTCGACCGAAAGCAGTCCAGCGCTTATCCACTGTGCCACCAGGGCTCCTACTTGGTGTAGAATTGTATCTGTTATGTTTTATTATTTGCCTTTTGAATAAAATGTATTGTTCATAATGACCAAGTAAGAAAAGTTGAGAAAAATTTTTAGAAAGGATAATATTTCTGTAAGTTGAAAGTTTATACTATTATAGGTATTATTATTATTTAATAAGCAGTGAATTCATCAAAAATTTTCAAGTGTACATTATGTGCCAGGAATTGTCAAGCTGTTTTATTCCCAGCAGCTTAGGTTGGAGTAGTTTTGATGTTCAAATGAATTTGTGTAGAGGAGGCCTCAGAATGTTGAGGAGTTCCTATGGCTCATTGATCTCACAAACAGCAGTTAACAATTATACTAACTTACCTAAAATAACTTATTATACACATCTTTCTGGTATGTCGTTTGCCCCTCAAGAAAGAAAAAACAAAATACATTTTTTAAATTAACTGACACGTCTTTTCAGGATTGAACCATTACTTTAGGAAGCAGGATTTTCAGAAAATGAAGGATGATATAAAAACCTTGGCATACTCTATATCTTGAAAACATATAACAAGGAGAGAATTTCCAGACATTCTTATCTTTCTAATAGAACATTTGTCTAGCTCCAATTTTGTTTTCCATTACTTGCCTAGATAGGGCAATTTGTTTAAGAAAATCATTAGAAGAATTAATTTAGGAATTACTATCTTTTATTCCCACCTTTTAAAAAGTTATAGAAATTAAAATATAACTGTTATTTAACCTTTCACTCAACAAACATTTAGTGATGCAAACTATTTCATCTACTGTATCAATTGCCTGTCACATAGTAAAAATTAATATTTGTAGGATGAATGAATGTATGAAAAAAGAAAATTCAGGATCATTTGCATAGCATTCAGTATATTTCAGGTAAAGTGTAGGCACAAGTTTGAAGTTCATGAAACAAATGAAAGCATTGGTGCTTTTCTTAGCCATTTTAATTTTAGTTCCATATTGTTATTATTAGTTGCCATCGATCATATTAGAAAGATTGGACCATTGTGATCTATAGGGTTTTCACTGGATGATTTTTGGAAGATCATCCGGCCTTTTTTCCTAGTCCATCTTAGTCTTGGAGCTCTGCTGAAACCTGTTTAGCATCATAGCAGCACACATGCCACCAAGACGCATGGATGGTGGCTGCGCTTGAGGTACCTTGGCCTGGAATTGAACCCTGGTCTCCTGCATGGTAGGCAAGAGTTTTACCACTGAATGACCACTGTTCTCAATTCAGTAACAGGCAGCAGTAATATTTTCTTCAGTATTAAGCATCACTAATTTTCTCTTCTCGTATTTAGATTTCCAACAGGTTTGAGTTACCCTTTGATACAGTATTTTAGAACATAAGATTGATGAAGTAGATGGCTGTGGTGACTACACGTTCCAAGGGAGGAACATTAATTAAAGGATGCTTTGGCTCACCTCACCACACTTTGAAAGGCAAACTGCTCACCAGGCGTCTCTCAGAGGGTCTGCTGACAGAACAGGCAGTGTGTGGCTGCAGGGACAGGACACTCTTGCTGGCTCTGGCTTAGGGAATAAGAGAGAGTCTAGAAGTACCTTTCACCCTGACAGCTGACAGGTGGGGAGGTGGTGTGTGTGGTAAGTTAATATCTTACTCTTGGGTGTTACCCAGTGTGTGGAGATGCAGAAGAGGGCCCAACCTGAGCAGAAACCTCACATAAAGATTTGTAGTTGCTCTGCACTACCTGGAACCCCCACCCCCCGTTTTATTCCTGGGCCTTAAGTTACTCTCAGTGGCCCTGTTTGCCCTAGGTCTCTACCTGAGCAAGATCTGGCCATCTTGGTGTTAGGGTCTTTCCATCATTCTCCAACCATAATGGTATCTATTTCCATGGGGAGTCTCTGGTCAGCACTTATGTTGTTAAAAAATTTGAAGGGTTAGTGTATAAAAGTTTCTTTAAGGAGGGTGTTAACTATTTGGTGAATGATAACAGGAAATTCCGGGTGCCTTTTAGTGAAGTTATCATTAAGTTCAGACTTAACAAAAGATAATCAATGTGAATGCTTTGGTTAGTGGCATCAATACTTTAATAAACCAACAAATGTTGTGCAGTATAAACATCTAATGATCTAGTCATTGAGGGTATAGGTAATATTGTATCCATTGAGTAATCCATTTGTAATACACTTCAAAAGGAATCGAGAAAGTTATGGAGGGTCTGCATAGGAGAAAGAATTGTTTTTGTTAGGTGCCATCCAGTTGGTTACAACTCATAGAGACCCTGTGTACAACAGAACAAAACACTGCCTGGTCCTGGGCCATCCTCATAATCAGTGCTGTGTTTGAGCCCATTGTTGCAGCCACTGTATCAATCCATTTCCTTGAAGGTCTTCCTCTTTTTTGCTGACCTTCTACTTTACCAAGCATGATGTCCTTCTCCAGGGCCTGGTCCCTCCTGATAATATGCCCAAAGTATGTGAGACAAACTCTCGTGATCCTCGCTTCTAAGAACTATTAGGACTAAATTTTTCAAACTTAACGCCTTGCGTGAAAACAGGTGCTTGAGAATAATCAAAGCAAGAAGTCATTCTCAGTATACTTGACAGTTATTGGTGATGTTGGTAAGAATATCTCAATCTGCAAATAAGTAATACAATAGAACCTTAATAAGCATTTAGAGTTTTTTGAGATTTTGTTTTTAACTATGA